CAAATGATTCTGAGGGATGAATCAGCTGTGGAGGTTATTGTTGTACTTATATTGCGTATTGAAAGTAACGGTGCTAAGAGTGATGTGACTTATCTTTCTGCATAACAGGTCTTCAGCATTGTTAACACACAATTGTGCTAGATAGTTTAATGTCAACTCGACGCAAGCTAAAGTCACCCAAGAGGAGGGAACCTCAATTAAGAAAATGCCTCCACAATTGGTAAGTTCCCCATTCCCCAACAAATGACCCACACCCGTGTACAAATGGGGGAAACTATCTGGATTCAATAGGTTATATAAATGAATGTAAGACGTGAAGTTGGAAGGGAAATGTGATTAAGGTGTTCTGGCAAGGTGTTGCAAGCAAAGAGGAAGAAGTTGATATAATCAAAATACACTGTACCCATGTATAAATTTTAAATTTTAAAAAAGAACAAAACCTTTTAAAACAGAAAAAAAGAAATGCCTCCATAAGATTAAGCTGTAGGCAAGCCTTTAGGGCATTTTCTTAACTAGTGATTGACCGTTGTGGGTGATGTCATCCCTGGGATGGTGCTCCTGAGTCTATAAAAAAGTAGGTTGTGCAAGCCATGAAGAGCAAGCCAGTAAGCAGCACCCCTTCATGGCCTCTGCATCAGCTCCTGCCTCCAGGTTTCAGCCCTGTCTGAGTTCCTGTTCCAGTTTCCTTCAATGATGGACTACAGTGTGGCATGTAAGCAAAATGCACCCTTTTCTTCCAAGCTTGCTTTTGATCATGGTGTTTCATTGCAGCAATACAAACCCTAAGGAGGAGAATAGTCATAACATCTTCACTTTTCTAGGAACTTGGATATGGATGATTTGTATCAGCTTCAGACTATCGAAAAGTTCATGAATAGATCTCAGCTGCCAAAATGAAGTTCAGTCCCTTTGTGACATCTGACGGAAGCAAGAACGGTAAAACGGATTTCAATGTACCTTTTCACATTAGGAGGAAGATGATGTCTCCTCCTCTTTCCAAAGAGCTGAGGCAGAAGTATAATGTTTGATCCATGCCCATTTGAAAGTATGATGTTCAGGTTGTCAGAGGACACTACAAAGGCCAGCAGATTGGCAAAGTGGTTCGGGTGTACAGAAGAAATATACCACCTATACTGAACAAGCACAGTGAGAAAAGCTAATGGCACAACTGCCCACGTGGGCATCCACCCCAGCAAGCTGGTTATCACCAGGCTAATGCTGGACAAAGACCACAAGAAGATCCTGGAAAGGACAGCCAAGTGCCGACAAGCAGGAAAGGAGAAGGGCAAATACAAGGAAGCAAGGATCGAGAACATGCGGGAGCAGAAGCCTCTCGTACACAACTTTCATGAAAGACTTTACAAAAAAATTCATAAATATCAAATCAAAGCTTCCTCTGGATGTTCAAGACATCCAGGTTGTTTAGCCAGGCTAAAAGTGAGGACAAACTAGAAACAAGAAAATAATAAAGGAGAGAGGGAAGTATGTGCACATGAGAGAAGATGAGGGAGAGATCAGAGACTTTCTGAGTTGAAACCTCCCCTGGAATTTTTGACTATCCTCAGAGTCTTTCTCCATCCCTGGGGGGAGTCTGCCTTTCCTGCTGAGTCTGCTTCTTCCTGATAAAGCCTCAGTGTTCCTTCCTAACAGCACAGACTAGATGTAGGGCTGGACCAATGTGCTTCAGAAACAGGGGCATGAGATCTACCAGCTTCTCATGTGTAGTGTCTCCTGGAAGCCAATCCCAAGCATGGTAGTTAGAAGCAAGATGGAGCAATATCCAACCTACTTGCTGTCCTTTTGACCCTGGAATCTTGATTCTCAGCAGCATTAATAACATCTTCACTTTAGAACAACCAGGTCTTGGAAACCTGAGATCTCTCCTTCAGGGAATTATGAAGTTGGGTTGGTCTAGTTGCCTTGAGAGGCATGGGTCATAGGTTTTTCAGGTTAGAGTTCATGGATCCTGGTGCACCATGTGCGTTTGAGTTCCTGAGAGATGGAGTCACTCCCTCAGACAGTGGAGCATGTAGGCGACCTGTGTATTTCTACATTCCCTGGAAGTCAGTGAAGCATATAGGAATTTTTAGTCTTAAACATCAATCCTGAGTGCATACATCATTGTATTCTGACAACGAACATTGTGTTTTATCCTGGCAAACACCATTGTATTCTGTTTCTGATAAGGGTTTAAAAAGGATGATTTCTTGCAATAAACGTGTCTTAGCCCCAGTCCTGCTGTGACCTCTCTGACCCTGACCTGATTGACATTCCTTCCGGCCATAATCACATAATCCTGGCTTGGCAAGCAAGTGCTGGTGCTTACCCACTCCTCCTTACCTCTCCCCGGCTGCCTTTCCCTATTCCAGCCTGTTACAGAGTCTGTATCTTCCAACTGAATTCTAATTCTCAAGAGGAAAAACCATCAGCCATCAGAAAATGAATAATAATAAATGGGTGGAGCAGACTTGGCCTAGGGTGTGTAGCAGAATACTTTTCAGAGGCCTGTAGTTCTAGCATGCGTAAAAAAAAAAAAATAAATAAAATAAAGTGACTTTTTCTCTGTAGCCACAGAAGGTACAGATATGATGCACATAAAATCCGCAGAGGAAACAGGGCTTCTTCAGGCAAGATTATTCTAATGTTTAAAATATTGTCAAGACAGTCAAAATTCCAACACAGACGGTGGAGGGTTCCACAAAGCCTCCCCTAATTGAGGAACTATTGGCAGCTGATGGCTAGTGGAAAAGAGAGAAACAGTTTTCTTCAGGGATGCTGCCCAGGGAAGGTTGTCCTACACCCATGCACATACCAGAAGCACCAGCTGGACTCGGTTACTAAAAGAGCAGAGGAAGCTGGAAGCGAGCTGTGATGAGGTGATTTGGGAGGAGTTAGAGGTGAGGGACTAAGAGACAGATACATTATCAAAACATTTGTACACACATACAAATTCCTCAAAGAATCAATAAAACTCTTCATAAATAAAATTTAATACAACTGTATATTAATTATTTTAACATTAACACCACTATCAATAAATAGTGATTAACCAAACATTAATTAATAAATATTTGTAATAATTGCTATTAATAAAATATTATTAATAAATTGATATTTATTAAAATAAGTTTAATAAAATTGTTAAGTTAATAATACATAAACATACATAAAACGTGTAGAAACAATTTTCTTCCATTTTATTTTCTATAATGTTTGTATAAATCATATACTATTTTTATTTGCTTATGTTTGTTCTTTGTATGGGTGAAATCATTCTTTCATCTTTTTACAGTCAACATGATGGTTTCAATATTCATGTTGATAGCTACAGCTACAGGCCATTTTTTCTCGCCACATTTTATTAAAGTTTCACACTGTCCTTTCCATTATCATTACTAGGGCATTTAAAAAGTTTTGAAATTCTCATTGCTTCCCATTTTAGAAAATGGAAATGAACAAATCATCTATCGTGTGGTACCACTAATAGTTTCCGGGCATACTGTCATAAAACACACTAATATTTTGGCAAGTAAATGCTCATATCAAATGGAATAAATAGCTACGTATCAATACTAGGTCAGATGTGGCTATGTGAAACTCTGTGAATTGCCTCTCAGTGATTTTTGGATTTCAGAATTGCAGCTTGAAGATTTACCGTCCTTTGTGAGATTGTATCATGGTTCAGCTATTCATTCTCTTGTTAATGAACATTTGAGTTTGTTGTCATATTTTTTCCATTATTCAAATAAATCATTACCTCAAGTGGAACACCTAATAAATGTCAGTTAAATAAATATGTCATGGCTCCTCCATTGTGTATTTCTTCTTCTTTAAAAACTTGAGTACAAAAAGTTGAATTGAGAGTTACTGTCTCCTAAGAAGGACACATTTACAATAACAACAATGCATTGTATTTTGTACTCACAATTGCTAGTTTAGTAGTAGCCAGAGATTTATTATTTCATTAGAAATGACCAGGAAGTTGGTGTTTTGTTCGTCATTGCACTTATATGAGGCAAGAGAGTAAAACCACAATAAATGAAGCTCAAAATATTTTTTCATGTTCAGTTTATGCTATAAATATCTCCCACAATCTCCTGATGTTCTTGTTCAAGTTTCTTTATAGTGTGTGCCAAAGGGTAGAATTTTTCAGTAGATCATTGGGGAATTAGTTCAGGTCTTCAGAGAAGCAGATGCCGAGATGCATGCACACACACACACACACACACACACACACACACACACACAAAGAGAGGAGGATTCTGAGGGGTTTCCTCACATGATTTTGGAAGCTATGAGGGTTCACAGTTGTCTGAAATCTGGAAATCTAGGCAATACAATGTAGTCCATCCCTAAAGCCCGGACAACAAGGGGAATCAGTGTTGTAAATCCTGGCCTGAGTCTGAAGGAATTGACAATCAAGAGTGCTGATTTTCAAGGGCTTAGTTCAAGAAGAGGGTGCGTTAGATGTCTCTCTACCTTTTTGTTCTGTGGGTCCTTGATAAATCTATGCCACCCATGTGGATGAAGGGGATCCTTTTCATTCATTCCACGGATGAAATAATAATCTTTTCTAGGAGTAATAGTAAAAACATATCCAAAAATAACGTTTTACCAGCTATCTGCTTAGCCCTTACCACATCCAAATTAACAAATAGAAATGAACAACCACAACATGGAAGAGATTTATTGGACAGTGGGTGAGTGGACGTCTTCAGACTCAGCATGAGATCTGTGGAAGAAAGCAGGGAAGAAAGGAGGACTGGGGTAAGAAGAGAATCTTGTAGTCCTACAAAGTACCAGGAAAGGTTGGGCCAGTGGGCCACCCCAGACTCTTATATAGTCCTTCAAAGTAACTCCATGAGTCTCTGGAATGAACCTGTCTTGGTACCTGTGCAATGCTCTAAAGTTCTATCATCTAGAAATAGCCATGCTGCAAACACAGTAACACATTGTTGAGTTGTTGATTTCATTCCTACAGGTAATACAATAGGCACATTTTACTCTGTTCTTTTAGCCAGCTTCTTCAAGGCCTGTTTCATGTCTTTGTTTCTAAGGCTGTAGATGAAAGGATTCAGCATGGGGGTAATTACTGTATAGATGACAGTGACCACTCGGTCCTTTGTCACTGAGTAGGTGGATGAGGGGCGAATGTACACAGATATTATCGTTCCATAGAATAGTGCCACAACTGTGAGGTGGGACCCACAGGTAGAGAAGACTTTGTATCTTCCTCCCCCTGAGGGAACCTTCAGAACAGTCCTAGCAATGAAGACATAAGAGATAACAATAAAGATAAAAGGGCTCATGATCACGAAAGAGCCCTCCGTGAAGGCCAAAAGCTCATTGATAGAGGTGTCAGAGCAGGAGAGTGTCAGCAGTGGCTGGACATCACAAAAGAAGTGGTGAATGATATTGGGTCCACAGAAAGAGAGGCGGCCCATGAGAACTGTATGGATGAGGGCGTGAAGATGGGACACTGCCCAGGATGCCACCACCAGCGAGCGACAGCGCCTGGGACTCATGGTTGTGGTGTAATGAAGTGGATCGCAGATGGCAACATAGCGGTCAATGGCCATTGCAGCCAAGAGGAAACTGTCTGTAATACCAAAGGCAACAAAGAAATACATCTGAGTGAGGCACTGGGCAAAGAGGATACTCTTTCTTTGTGTCAGCAAGTTCACTAACATCTGTGGCACGATGACGGTGGTAAAGCAGATGTCCACCAGGGACAGGTTGGAGAGGAAGAAGTACATGGGAGTATGTAGGTGGGCATCTCCCCGGATGGATGCAATGATGACTGAGTTGCCAACCACGTTGACCAGGTACATGGCAAGAAAGCCGGCAAAAAGCCATACCTGTTGTCTGGGGTCGCTGGTCAGTCCTAAAAGGAGGAATTCTGTCATGTGGCTCTGGTTTTCCCAGAGCACTGCTGTCCTGCAAGCAAAATATATGCAAGGAATGTTAGATGTGTTCTTTTTCTTGGAGACTTTGGCCTAATGGAGGGGATACCTCACAAGGTATTTCAGTTCATGCATCGCGTCAGGAGGTTGCTTATATAGTCTGTAATATGACCTCATGGAACTGGCATTAGAATGCTCTGGGCTCACTTTCAAGTTTGTAACTAACTTTGTGAACTCAAATGAAGTGCTTCGGCTCTTGTTCTTTGTCCAGAAGACAAAACTTATGGTAACCACATTCTATTTTGATCATACGAAAGGTGTGCAGAAAACAGTCATTTTGTTCAATTTCCAAATGTGTATTGATGACATCTCTTTGCCCTGTTTCAGTTTTTCCTTCTCTGTGCAACATCAGTCTCTACCCCAATGGTTCTGACCATGGTTTCCCTCTCCCTTTGCGAGGAAAAGTAAGGGTCCCAAGATCTACATGCAGCAGTCTTATATGCAATATAGAGATGTGTTCCTGGGTCAAATTCTCCTTGAGAAAAAAAAAGGTTTTGTAATTCATTTGGTAGCCTAAAATGTAGGACATTAGTTTAGGGTAGGAGTGGCTTGTCCTGGAAGTCTCACGTGTCAAGCAGGGTGTGTAATTATATGATTGAGTGGGAAGGTAAAGGACTATTTCTCACAGGGCTCTGTTTCCTTGGGCTGGGTGTTACACATAGATGAAGTCCCAAATTCTATAGTGGACAGTGTCAGGGTTAGCTGGAAAGGAAAGAGGCAGAGAGGAGAATAAACACAAGGACAGGCAAGGATTAATGTGCAAAGGTGTGGTTATGAAGATTGCCTCCGAGGATAAAGAAAAGTAACCTCAAAGCTAGGTTTTTAAAAATCTGGACTTGTAAATCGAGTCTGAGAGCCTGACACGGAGATATCAAACCATACAAGCCCCAGAAGCATTCTTAGACAAAGGTGTACTTCAAAAGACTTAGAGAATGCTCATAGGAGAATGAATAAAAGATGGATAGAAAGCAGACATGAGCAGACACCTCAATTAATGTACCTTTTCATAAAATGTCCCATAAGAATCTATGTACTGATGAAATAAAAATGAAGGTTGGGTGTATAAAGGCAAGCTTATCACCCAGGGAATCACCATGGGTAAGAAGATCTTAATTTCTTGGTTAGCCCAGGCAATTTAGTGAGACTTTGTATTCCAATAAAAATGTAAAATGACGAGAATGCAGCTCTATAACAGAGCACTTATAATAGAGCATGCGTGAGTCTCTGGGCTCAGTTCTCAAATGAAAAAAGGACCCTTCCAAACCAAACAAAACAGAAAAAGTAAAAGTAAAAGAGTGACAAGACAATGTAGCGTTACAATTCAAAATGTAGAAATCAAAGAGGTTTCAAAAACCGTATAGAGTGGGAGGGAAATGGTAGCAGGGAAAATAGGGAAGGAATTAAGAGAGGGAGAGGCAAGCAGATTTGACCAAAATGTATTATATGCAATCAATAAAAACAAAACAAAACAAAACAAAAACTGAACAACCACAAAGATTAAGTAGAAAACACTGTCCTTTTGGAAATTAAGACTAACAAAGACATTAATAAGGAAATAGTGTGTTTTAGTGCAAGGACAATAGACCAATAGAAAATGCTAGGTAAAATATAGATCAGAATACACTTAGAAGATGTGTTGATTTAGGACTGTGGAAGGAATAGTTTCTCCTGAAATGTCTACAAATCACCAGCCATGAGTAGTTGGTGAGGTTTACAGCATCTGGCATTAGCTCCCTCCTATTGAGTCCGTAAGTCCAATTCAGCAAATATTGGGTTACCAGTATTAGGCACACAGGTAAGTGCAGCCTTTACCCCTCATCAAAGAAACTTCTTTTTTTCATCAGGTGAAAACTACTACAGAGGTCCACAGCTGGTCAAACTGCAGAGAGTAAGTAACAGAGCCTCCCCTTAGCCCCACTTATTACAGCCTCCTTAGATGTACCTGAGACTCTTGGGACATCTTTGAAGAAGGGGCAGAAAGATTGCAAGAAAACTGTAAAACCACTTACTCTCCAATTTCAGGCCATAGTTATTTCAACAATATTATCACCGTGTTTATTCATTTAAAAATCTTATGTTTCCCTGTATTCCAAACAAAGAGTGAAATAGAACCAAAAAGAAAAAGAAAGGATAAAAAGAAAGAAAGGAAGAAAGGAAAAAAGGAAGGAAAGAAGGAAGGAAGGAAGATTGAAAAAGCCAAAGGACCAGGATGTCTGCTTCAAGATAGTATTCTTTATATGTTGCACCTGTGAAATATCAATAATCTTCCCTAAATAAGGTCTGCAAAATGACCACGCCAGTTGACATGCCAACATGGATGGGGGAAATTTCACAAAATCTTAGCCTTAGATAGAGTTTCAGATAGTTATGAGCCACCACGTGGGTGCTGGGAATCAAACTTGGGTCCTTTGTAGGAGCAGCAAGTGATCTTAGCTGCTGAGCCATTACCCAGCCCCATATTTGTTTATTATTTTTTGCTTAGTCTTGTTTTAGAGTCATGTTCAAGGTGACAGAAATAATTAAAAGAAATTCCATTCTGTATTTTAAATATCCCCAAACACTAACTAGGATCTCAGTGTACCACTGTCCAACACAAAATTGGCATTCATTTAAGAGCTCAACAGAGGAAAATAACAGTCCAAAAAAGCCAGTGGGAGAAATAATGTCTTAGTATGCTGGAAAAACCAGTTTATCATATCAAGAAGAATTTGAATTCAAATGATAATAGAGCTGGAATTCAAATGGATTATGATTTATATATAATGTGCGATTCTATGGAGCACATAGAAAAATGAAATATAAGTCAATCTATGAATTAGAAGGGAACTGGTCATTGAGTATATGACTTTTAATCCAAGCACTCAAGAAGTAAAACAGGTAAATTTCTGTAAGTGTGAGGCCAGTCTGGTCTATATAGTGAGTTCCAGGACAGCCAGAGCTACAGAGAAGAAGAAGAGGAAGAAGAGGAAGAAGAAGAAGAAGAGGAAGAAGAAGAAGAAGAAGAAGAAGAAGAAGAAGAAGAAGAAGAAGAAGAAGAAGAAGAAGAAGAAGAAGAAGAAGAAGAAGAAGAAGAAGAAAATGAAGAATGGGGAGGAGAAGAGGGAAGAAGGGGAAGAACAATATGCCCAATGGTTAAGAAAAATCTGAAAAATAAATCTAAGATTTTTTTTTTAAACATAATGGCAAATAAAACAGACACAGCAGAGACTAGATGATGCTTGCTACGCCTAAAAGCTCTGGTACTGATATCCAGAAAACTCAATGATCACCTTTCCTTCAGCCTTCAGCGAGACAAATGTAAGAACACCAGTATGAAAGTGTGTGAGAAAGCTGAAAGGTTATCAAGTATATGAATGGATGAACTAATGGTAAATTCAGAGGTGAATTAAAATAAGCAATACTTTCTTTTACATTTGTTAGCTTAGCCAACGTGAGTGTGGAAGACATGGACACAGGTTGATAGGGCTGCGGGTAAGTCAGGATTTGTGTATACCCTCTGTGTGGTACACTGTTATAAAGGGCAAACTGGTTTCTCAGTATCTCCCGACCCAGCAATGCTCCTGCATGGACTTCTCAGAATGATGCAGCCACAGGGAAGCCCACAGGCTGGAATGTTTTTGTGTTGTCATTTGTTTGAAGTGGTCTGGGTGTCTATCCCCGGGCTGATAAATGTGACAGAACACCATGGAGCTATTTGTCAACAGTGGACTAGAATTTCCCAGAGCAACACGGATGGGTTTTAAGAGGAAATACATATCCTGGGTTAAAAGAATAAGAAGATGAATGAGAGTCGCAACACAACAAGAGTCCTATACGTTAAAATGAAACACAATAACACGTGTCCCTGCACACAGATGAGCAGGAAACACAAGAAAATCAGGGAGTAGTAGAACACGTATGTTCATGGGTGAATAAGAACACAGAGGAACAAATAAAATCAAAGTGGTACAGTGCTGGTAATGTGTGGTTAATTCAATTCTTTGTATTCAAAGTCTGTACGAGAAAATGAATCTCAAGTCTTACATGGAACTTTTCTTTTTCTATTTTGTTCCCCAAAGCATGAGCTCTTTAGAAGCAGAGGTGCCAGGTTCAAGCATGGTCAGTAAGGAGAGTCTGCCGTCTGCTAAATTATGACCTTTGATACTTTGAAATCTATACAAGTTGGATTGAAACTCAAGAGCAGAACCTACTAAGCCTGGGAGCAGAACCCAACTAGCCTCCTCTGTGAGCTGCCTCCTCTGCGAGCTGACCTTCCTGGTGATGTCAGGGCTTTTCTTTCTTAGGCTAACTAATTCATAACTTGCTCAAGTTTTGATTCCATTTCAGGGTACTAGGGACAAAGAGGAATCTCTCCACGTGGTAAAGCATTTCATGTGACAGTGTAAAACCACGAGGAACAGAATATAACCTGTGACTCCTGGATTAATATTATGAACTGTCTTAGAACTTGCCTATTTCATAAGTTTCCAAATTGTGCTCCCTGAGAGATTCCCTCCCAGGGAGCACCTGGAAGGAAGGGTCAGGAGGCTGATAGGAA